AAGAAGCATCGAGCCGAAAATAATGCCAGTAGGAATACCGCCGCGCTCCTGTCCGTCATGAATGGCCAAGGACTCGCGAACGTCCTGAGGAAGGGAGCAGTCGAGCTGGTGCTCAAGCTCGTTGACGTCGTTATATGTGCATCCCTCGCAGAGCTGGTCCCAGAGTTCTGGGTAGTGCTCCTCGGCCCACCTCTCTATCCTGGCCCACGAACTGGCGACCGATGGAGCTGGTGGCATACCATCCTGAAAAGACTGCATGGGGATCTCGCCCGTGGGGCTCTGCATCTCAAAGCCATCGGTACCACTCGTTTGCCGCGCGGACCGCAGACCGGGCGAATATGGCATGTTGCCTCCTGGGCTCATAGGTACACCAGGGGAGAGAACACCATTAAACGAATGTTCAAAGTTGGCCGAAGGACGAGCGGATTCATCGTGGTAAGGCGATCGAATATCGGTACGAGAGTCCGAGGCAGTTGCTATCGAGGTCAATCCGTTGCGGCCGTTTAGTGGGACGTGGCGCCCTGTTCTCTGAGGTGAATCGAAATCGGAGTCTAGGGCGACTTGTCAGTAAACAGCAGCCGGGGCGGTGTGGAGAGGTCAGGGGCTGCGCTCACGTCTGTCATAGCTGGTCATGGTATGCCAGAAAGAGCGAAATGCGTTTCCAAATCTGTATCCAGCAGTCGGTCTCGTCAGCAATCGCCAGAAAGAGAGGAAGGGAGTCGGGTAGATTTACGTTGCCATGTTGGGCGGTTTACGGCGGCGCCGAGTGTGATTGGTGATGGAGGAAAGTGGAAGCCAGAGAGATCACGTTCTTAATAGAAGTGGTGACTGTGGTGACACGAAAGACGTTGTGCTGCAACTGTTCCAGAAGAAGGGCGAAGGCGGAGGTAGAAGGGGAGGGCGCGCGCGCAGCGTGTTTGAAACCCAGACGACAGGAAAAGACGTAATTAATTAAAGGGTGTACGAGTGGCCGGTCTGCAGTGTCTGGCGTCACAGCAGCAAACGATGGAAAGAAGGAGAGGGGACAGTGTCCGAGGCCTCTAAGCTGAGATTCTTCAGCAACGACGACGACGAAACAACAAAACGAGCGAGCGGTGCATCTGCTGCTGCAGCAATGATGTAGTTGAAAGGGCTGCGGAAAAAGGAGAAAAGTTCCAGACGCACACAGAGATGTTCCTCTGGAGAACCAATGCTTTTTTCTTGAAAACGGTGAGCGGCACCCCTTGCGACGGTACCCAGCGACCACTTAATGGGAAGGGGTGAGATCCACACTTGGTCGCAGATGATGGTGGGGAGGGCAACGGACCCTCCTGACTGGCTGCAGCAATCAAATCCTCATCAATGACCCCAGAGCCGAATGCTGGCAAGGCATGAAATAAATAACCACTGCCGGGACAAAGTGTGTTGCATTCAACCTTCTTCAGGTATAACTTGGTTCTCGTAGTTCTCCCACTCCTCAATCGCGAAACAAGTTTTTGTTTCCGCCGATCTCTTTTAAGGAACTGCCAGCTGTCAGGCTTTTCTAGTGTACAATACACTAGAGGTGTGCCTTTCGGATATTCCGGTGGAGATGGGATGGATGGCCTGCGAATGCCCCTGACTAGGAAATTTGAAGGTTTACAACAAACTGCGAGTTATGCATCAATCAGAATTGTCGGGTGTGCCCAAGACAGCATGTAAATGGTTGGAGCGGCGTCGTCCTCGCCGCTTCTTATCAGCACACGAATGTGTTTCACAGTCTGTGTGAAATATACGAATTGGGTACGCATGCTACCTAGACCAAAATGCTCGTGATAGGGAATTTTGGACGGATGTCGGACGCTGGATGTTTCTAGCTGCAGGCCCTGGCACCCCGCTTCAGCTCGACAGCGGTCTGATCCTTTAACAGCTGCCCGGAGATGGGACGGGGCCCGCCGTTGCGCTTTTGACAACGGATATCGGGTCAATTTTGAGAAACCCTGGGAAAAAGATAAACAACAGACCACGAGGCGCCATGATGGCACAACCCAATCCTGAGGGGCGCGTAATCTGTACCCCGCATCATTTGCGCCCCGTGGACGACCTGATCGGCGGCTGCGCTTCGGCGGATGGATAGATGAACAGATGAGCGGCTCGTTCAGGAGTTTGCGTTGCTTTCACGGCATCAACGGCCATGCACCGCCACTCGATTTTGCCATCTCGTCCTCTCACAATGATGTTATCCAAAACGGCAACCGGCCAACCACCCACCCACAGGCGGCCCGCCCATGCATTATATTTTGGAGATTCGCCGCACCTGCACCAGTCTTGCTGCATGAACTTCCAGCCTCTGATGCCAGCCTGCAGCTGTCGAGCAAGCCACATTTCTATTAGCACTTACATCTCAATTGCTGTTTTGTCATTTATCGGTATATCTCGATACTAAGCCAAGACTTTCGCTGTTATTTTCCGTCTCGTATTTCGAGTCTCATTGATTACAATCATCATGGTATCCAATTTTCTATCTTGGCAATCTGGAGAAGGTTTGTACTTCCAATGCTGATAAGGCAATTGCATAACTTTATTTTCTTAATAATTCGCACAGGAAGTCAAGTGGCTCGACTTTCTCTACCACCCGCCATGGGGCTCTTCTTAATCTGTCTTGCTAGACTAACTCGAATAACGGATTCATTATCTCTTGGAGACAAGTTGACGGTATTAGAAATGGGTTTTTGAGTCGTACCGTATTTGAAAAATCTACAGGCATAGACTTCACGATGGTAGTCTGTAACATCATGGATGGAGATCACCTACCTACTACTAATCACAGGAAAGAGAACCCGAAAGTTGTCCCAAGTTATTGATATATTGCCAACCACTTTAAACGAGAGAAAGTAAAGACTGAGAAGTCTAGCTCCATGTCCAAAAACACATTGTCTATAAATCCAGTTCCCAAGTCCCGAAAAGCCAAACTTCAAAATCAAGAAAACCAGCCAAAAAAACACGTAAATGCTAGTCACTGAGTAAAACCAGTACTCCCCCAAAACTCAAACCCTCAAGCCCACAAGATCATTCACCCCTATCCGCCCCTCCCCCTTATTCACAGATGGGTACCCTCCTAGCACCCATACTCCAAGAACAACCCATTCCCGGCTTCATTATCATTCACAAACCCCAACTCCCCCAACGCTCCAAGCTCGATCCTGAAGGACTGGACCTCCCTGCAGGTAAAGGAATTAACCACAACTCTCACCACCTCTCTTGTCTTTTGATCAGGCAAGAAGGTAGGCAGCCTAGCCGTCCCCACCAGACTGCCCGCGGCGGGACCATCGAGGGCATAAAAGTTTAGAGGCAAGGGCTGGCCCCCTGCTTGCACCGAGGAGTCGACTATTTCGTAGTTTGCGGGAAACGAGAGGGCTAGAGTGCAGGGACCTCCGGTCGACGGCGAAGATGAAGGAGGAAACTTAAAGGCGACTTGGGGCGTGAAGACGTTTCCTTCGCCCAGGTCGGGGCGGTTGAGGGGGTTGATGCGGGTCCAGGGTGTTGAGGATGAGATGGAGACGGGAGGGAGTCTTTTGGGGGTGCAGGCGCCTTTGTTGGCGGGGGTAGGAGACGCGGAGGTGAGGGTGAGGAGGAGGGAGAGGATGGTTGTGGTGGTGAGCTGCATCTTGAATGAGTTTTTTGCTGGATTTTTTACTGGAGTCTAATAGTGGAACAATTGTGACTTGTATGCTGAAAGTCTTGCTTGAGTGAAGCTGTTGGTTGCTAATGTTGTTGTGTTTGATGATGAGAATGAAAAGATGGAACTGAACGAGACCGAGGATGGAGTCTTATATGGACGGAATATCTTCTCTCAATGATACCTATTCATCCATGCTACCCAGAGCGAAGCGGCATCCTCAGCTAAAGTGGACTGTCAGTTCCAAGCCTGAACAAGCAGGCGAAGCTACTGCCAAGAACGTTCTTGACACTGAAAATAGGAACATGGCCATGTTGGATCTCATCAAAAGCCTGTCGTCCAACGCGTGCTTAGTGCCAACAGTAGCCGGTAGAATGCAGGTTAAAAACTCAGGACACTGAAAGGATCTGTTATTTTGCCAAAATACCAGTTGTGGCTGGGATGACGCAGCCTCAGCTTCTTACGTGCTTACTCTCCAGTGCGATATTCGCTCTCTTGATCTTTAGACTTGGAACTTACATGCTGATTTCAGTCTGTTGGTGTGATTGGTAGCCTGATTGCAAGTATTTACTACAATGTTCACAATACACAAACCACATTAGCTCCTCGATGGAATAAGAGCACGCAGTTCCGTCAGGTTTTGCGACTGCTATGAAGAGGACTGGTTTCCTAGGTTTGGGAGAACGGCATCGAAAATTTATCTTTCCTCTTGCCTGTAATATCTAACGGTCAAGCCAAGGTCTTGAGGATTGTCCATAAGACTTGCACAGTATCAATCGGAAGATGCACACGAGAGCTCCTTACCATGATGACCTTCGCAAAGGAGGATGCGCGTTCGGAACGAATAAGATCAGTAGATAGGGTCCGAATCTCCGGACCGAACAAGCCATCAAGAACTTATAGCCTCGTGTTGACATTATAGCTTGCGCCTTGCATATATATTCAGCCGCGCTGAGCCTCCGGTCCTTCGGTCTTGTCAGATGCTGATGGGAGACTTTGGAAAGTATGTAAGCGAAGGGTATTGCTTCTGACTTTGCTGAAGGATCAGTACACAGTCAGATCTCCATGGCAATGCTGAATATGACGAGTTCAGATTGGCTCGAGACGTCTTTCCTGTTTGGGCACTTATACGTCAAGTTGACAACCTCGGACTGGCTCGACGACTGGGCCGAAAAGATCCGTATGTGGAAGTTGATACCTCATATTCAATATTTACTCACGAAATAGACTGATAAGCGAACCGATTGTTGTCTAAAGCGTACTTGATTTGCTGGAAAGCAATTCCCCCTTCTCTTCAACTCGGAACCACCCCTCCCACGGAAATGAACAGTGAATCGTCACAGTGCTTCAACAAACAACATCGGGCTGGATGGCCGAGTGGTCTAAGGCGGTAGACTCAAGATTCATAATCTTCCTCGGAATAATCTGAGGTGTATTCTACTCTCGAAAGAGGCGCGCGTTCGAATCGCGCTCCAGTCAGTATCTTTTGCCTTTTTTCTTTGGCGCACAACGCCAGAATGCATGATGCTTCTCTTTTATCGTCCAACTTCGACACATTCAATTGATTTTCTGCCATTGCATGTGGTTCAATTTTTTTTTTAAACAAAGCACTCCCTTTCAATTGTCATTCTGCTAATTCCGGTAACTCGTGAAGGCAATTCCATGGCACTGAAGGCGGGTCGATGATGATGCCCCACTCACCCCTCTTCCTCCTTGCAGCAACAAGGCATCTGCAAGTTCCAATGTTCAGGACTGTTTGGGGAATTAACCACGTCATGTCTGATTACTTTTCCTGGTTCGGTACCTAGCTAGCAAATTGAAACTCAATTCTCTCTTCCCGTCCGATGATCTCCCGTACTTCATTGAGGATTCTGTGCAGATTGCAGCGTTTGTCCCATCCTCCAAGTCCAGAATCCCATCCAACCAACCAGAACACCACCCCGCACACCACTTACACCCAATAACTCAAGTCACGATGGGAGCAACCATCGCCACCACCCCTACTGCCGGTAATCCAAACACCAAAGATGCCAGCAAAGATGATGCCATCACGGACCTCAGCACCCAATATGACACTCCCCTCGGACTCGCCCACACGACCATGCAGGCGCTCAAAGGCCGCATCAAGCTTCACTACGATCTAGCAAGCGATTACTATCTCAGTCTCTGGTAAACTTTCACCACCCGTCCCCTTGAACCACCATCATACTAAAAATTCAAAATTTAGGGGCGAACACATCCACCACGGCTACTGGCCAACCCCAGAATCCAAATCCCAAGAATCAAAAGAAACAGCCCAGCTGAACCTCATCCGCCTCTTACTCTCCATCTCTTCCCTTCCCGAGGAGTCCGGGCAGTCCTCTGAGACCTCTACTCCGCTCAAAGTCCTAGACGTAGGCTGCGGGATAGGCGGAACCTCCCGCTTCCTGGCCTCAGAACTAGGATGCTCCGTCACCGGCATCACCATCTCAACTAAACAGGTCGAGATTGCCCGTCGACTGTCCTCTTCCAACTCTGCCGATGTAGCAGGTCAGGGTTTCATCCCTCACGGCCGAGGCCAGGTCCGCTTCATAGAGCTCGATGCCGAGAAAATGGGCGAGTACTTTGCTGCTCAACAACAACAACAATTCGACGTTGTCTGGATCAGCGAAGCTCTCAGTCACTTCCCCAACAAGGCATTATTCTTCAGGAATGCGCAAAAAGTGCTGAGGCCCGGTGGGAAGCTTGTGCTGGCTGATTGGTTCAAAGCTGCGGAGTTGGGGGAGAAGGGGTTTGAGAATGATATCAAGCCGATCGAGGATGGTATGTTGCTGCCGCCTTTGTGCACGCAAAAGGATTATGTTCGGCTTGCGGAGGAGGCTGGGCTCAAAGTGTTTGGCGGGCCAAAGGATATCAGCCAAGATGTTAGCAAGACTTGGTAAGCTGCGTCGATGTTTGCCGTGTTTCGTGGTGCTGGAGATTTGCTAACTGTTAACAGGGACATCTCGTGGTCGCTGGTCCAGAACCCATCGCTTTGGGCTTTTGCGTTCAGCCAAGGGCGGGACGGTATCGCGTTCCTTCAGTCTTTCCGAGCCATGAGAAGAGGATATGCTAATGGGAACTTTCGATATGCTGTCATGTCCTTCGTCAAAGACCAGTAGACAAAAAAGAACGGAAAAGATATAGAATCGCCAAACGAAATCTTTTTGGTACAATTGCCCCTCTCCCTAGTTTAGAATAGAACCTGAAAGGCAATATATAGAAATTATTTGTGACCAGAGTTATTGATTTTTACCCTGCCTCTCCCGTTTTGGTACCAAACACCTGAATATGGATATCATCTTTATGCGCCCTTTGCCCTTCCTCTTCTTTCTTCATCATACCAAGCTTGCCGGAACCACATCGCCCAGTTATTTCTCCTGCGCGGCCCCAATTGCGTTTGGCAATTTCCCATAGAAGCCTCGCCCCGTTGTTTGTGTTGTTCATGCGACCCCCCCCCCCCCCCCCCAAAAGAGGAAACTTCGTAATAGATTTGGGTTTTTTTTCTTTTCTTTGCGTCTTCGTCTAATTCATCCTACAAACCCTAATTCACCAGGTAGGTCAATCCATCGCTTTATGCGCCGCCGACGAGGATGTTGTTAAGGGGAACGTGGACTGTACGAAAGGTTAGTTGCTGACAGGTTTCTCGTCCATCCATTGGCGCAATTGAAGAAGAGGAAAAAGATCCTTACTGAGCTTGACGAAGTACCCGACGGCACCCATGACTGTTCCAAAGGTCAGCACATCACCCACAATAGAAGATCGCAAGTATGCGTAGTATCAAAGAGCGAGAAAGAGAGTAGTAGACTTACTGAGGAAACCGACACCAACGGCCTGAGAGATCTTGATGAATTCCCTACGGTCGGCTGTAGTCAATCAAAAATCAGTATTTATGCTATTCCACCGCAATTGGCTTGGAATTTTTGTTTGGTGGTCGTCACGTACGCTTCTGGGCCCTGTTGATGAATTGGACGCCGTCCCTGAGGAACTCGCGGGGGACGTCGAGCATCTCCTGAACCTGGTCGGACATTGTGAAAGATGTAGTTGATTAATTAAAAGGAAGTAGTTGCGTGGTTTTTCCGCTTGGGCGCAAAATGAATTGAATAAATAGGTTGCCAGAAAGAAAATGCAGAAATCGAGGGAAAAGCTGGATGCGTTATTCGTCGCGTGGGCAAGGCGGGAGGCAGTAAATTGGAGAGCTGGCAGTAATGGAAAATGGTCGATGTGCCACATCGCCTCAAGTTTAGCGTGCTGGGTTGGATTGGCCGCCGCGTCCCCCAGGAGCAATCCGTGGGAATTGGTCCGTGCTCAGCTGTCAGGGGGTCTCATCAGTTTTCCCAGAAACTCAAATTGTGGAGCCCTCTTGGTCTGGCATGGACAGGGCTGGCAGCTGGCTTTCGCTGTCTTCCAGCTTGAACCCTGAATTGATATTGAAATCCGGCCATCATCAGCTTCACTTTCGACAATAAGCACCTGTTCAACCCGTTGGATCACACCATGTCTGCATTTGACGGTGATACTTGATTTTCAAGTCTACGACATGCGGTTATTTCTAGAAGCATCTGGATCACCCTTCGGTTATCAGTCAGTTGTTCGACACCGACTGCAATGCTTCGGAGATAGCACCCAAGCTCCAAGTCCGCCAACTCCATCACTGCTGTCAAGTGCAAATTGACATTGTGAGCCATTTGTTTTGTGATCGACCCGATCACCACTGGATGCTCGCTGGAGTACGGAGTTACTGATCACCTACAACTCCCCCAACACCGGCCGCAATCTCCCGGGCTAACGGACTGATAGCTTCAAAACCTAGAAGTCGATATCCCACCACACCACTACGCCTAGAGGAGCATAGCATGATGCTAGCAATCAGTAACCTATTTTGATGCCGTCTTGATTCACTCTTCCGATCTCGTTGTCGTCTTAGGGTCCCCGAGATGCGGAGAAAATGTGGAGAAGGACCGAATGTCCACCTCTCCCAAACCCTCCAAAGCTGAGACATGCATCTGTTAGTCTCGTGTGAACTAGACGCTGATTGGATTTTGAAGGCATTCAGAGCATGCAAGGACTGGCTGTCCCGGTAAAGTATTTATTTTTTCAGCGGTGAGATTTCGGTGCCCCCGCGACGATGTGCACTTCCCATCTGTGCCCGTGTTACTCACGGTCACGGCCCGCGACATGGTGGTTTTCCTGTGTGACGTGCAGTTGACAATATCTAGGTGTTTTTCCTCTTTCAGAACCGACTAGATTAATAGCCGTTATGGGAGGCCTAGCGGCGCAGGCGGGCCAATGTGGCCGGTTGGCTTTTTCGTGGCCTGCCTGTTCGTGGCCTGCCTGTTGGAGTCTTGGACGATGACACCGGCCTCAAACGGTCTGTTTTGAGGCTTGGGGGTGACATCTCAGCTCACAACTCACAGTCGAGGGATTATCTGTGGGGAACCCCAGAACTCGAGGACAAAAACAAGATGGGTTGGCTAAGCCCAAGCCATGTGGTGCCGATCATGAAGCGATGGTGGAATGCCAACCAGCACCTTTGGTGCTGCGTGATGCAAGCCGCGACCTTGGAGGACTGCAGGGCACATTGCCAGCCAATAACCCCTCATTCCGGATCTGAAATCCACCGCCCGGGGGTGTCCCCAAGACCCGCATGGGACGTGTAGCCATGATGCTCTTGCCTTCCGCGACGAGTAGAACTGACGACTAATTGCCCCCCCCGGAGGCAATGCCCGACTTGCATCATGCTGTCTTTTAGGTTCTATAAGCCTGCAGGATCCCCCCAAAACAGTTTCATTCCCATCTTTCCATTGTTCTCTCTTCCGATTTTCCCGTCTCGTTTCTATCTTTACCATAATCTTTCTTTCTCCAAACTTCCATACGAAAGGCATTGTTGTCCCGAGGATAACGTCATCGACAATCCTTGACCAGTCAAAGGAGGGCTTTGTTTGGCCAGGATCGAAACAACAACCGCTTGATCCTCACTTGGTCGGCGCTACTGGACCTGCCGCGCGCCTCATTTCATCGGCAGCTGCCCCACTAAATAACCTTTCCTAAGGTGAGCCAGAACAATGTCCCTAACAACTTCTCTCAACCACTTGATGGTTTTCGCTTCTGAGACGTGAGACCAAAATCACGCGAACAACCTGGAAAACCTTCTAGGGTCAACTGTCTTTTCAACGGTCTAGACTGGGACCAAGGGGACCGCAGTTCCGGTTTTCCGTTCGTGAATTTGTCTACATCCCATGGGACGGGTCCCGTTTAAGACTATTTGGGCCCCCAAGTGGTAGGCCAGCCGCTCACAATGGTCTTTGTGAAGATCAAGTTTCTTTTTGACGGGCTTTCAACGGGTTTCCTTTGTCTCGATCAACTTGATATAATCACACGGGCGGCCACTTGTACGACACCTTGTCTGTGACACTGTCTTTTTCTCAACCAGCACTGCATATTTTTTCTTCTTTTCCCTC